GCATAATGTATGAAAATTGTATTTGAAATTATTTATCGTTTTGAAGCTTTATATAATTATATACACCTGAGGATGGTTCTTTTAGGAACTGAAACATGTCGTGAAACATGAAAAATCATGGTCTAATGTAAATCGAATATTTCGATAAAGAACATCATTTAATAATATTTTAAATGTTAATTATTGTAATATTTTAATATTTAATAAGAATTTATTGTGATTAGACGGACAAGATTTAATATATAATACATAACATTCTTCTTATTCTATGGCTCTCCAGTCCGTATTCGGTCCGTCTGTCCGAGTGGAATTATGATACCAACTTCACACATTACGTCACTTCCGGTTTAGCACTCGGTAAATTTCAAGTACCTGATCTTTTCGTGCACAATGTACGTAAAAACATTATCAACAACTACCAATTTTTTTTTAAATATCACACCGATACGATACAACAATGCAATGTTGCCAACGGTAGAATAATAAACTTACCCGTGGCTTGTCGTTGTGAGTATCTGTCCAGTAGCGATGGAACTTGACAATGTTTGGATGTTCTAACTGGGTGAGGTTTTCGAACACCTGTTGAATTTTATCCTCCTGGGCCTTGAAGTTTTTCCTTTCAGAGAACTGCACCTCATTCCACACGACCTCAACGCCCTCCTCAGTGTCCATCGCCAGGTAGGCACAGTCAATCCCTGGTACATCACGTTGCTCCACCTACAATGAACAATTAAAACCTCGTGACTTGCAGTGTCCGGCAGTGAAATATGGAAATAGCTCTGACCCAGTAACCCCAATCCTACGGTCACACCTCAATACAGTCCGGTCTATTGTTATTATTTATTTAAACCGATTTCAAATCTCCATGCTGATTCATACCTTGAACCTCGTAAATACGAAGCAGAGTGCCAAACCACTTGCCATCAGTCACACGGGGCCATACTATCTTAATCAGTCAGATCAGTATTTGGAAATTCAAGTCCTACATCCGACATGCCTATTGTTGTTTCTAGGTTAGGTTACCAGAAAACTTATTAATGTTTACAGTACATGCACTGGCCCATATCCATTGTTATTCTTATTAAATGAATAAGTCAATTACTACGCAGTATCACAGTGATAAGCTTGTTCAATATTTTCCTTTGTTCAAGGAGAATATATATACGAGTTTTGAATTAATACTTACATACCTCCACCAATAAATTCGTAAACAAATAATACTTTGCAAAACTCTGACCACACACGACTCTTGTGAGAATAAAATAACAAAAGAGAGGCTTCGTATTTGGCTGGTATTCCATTTTTAAGGCTTCGACCGGGATGTTCTTTTGTTAAATCTTATGTGGTACCGCCTGATTCGACTTCTAATGGTTAAGTGAAGTGTTTTCTTCGCGGTACGGTCTGGATTCGTAAATAATATTCAGACGATCTTCGGCTTCAAAGGGTTAACCAGCTGATTTTCGTAATGGTGTGGTGTAGTGTTTTCTTCGCGGTACGGACTGAATTCATAAATCATATTCAGACGATCTTCGGCTTCAAAGGGTTAATTAATGAAAATAGTCAATACTGCCAACAGAAACTAGTATAAGGCCATTACATGGTGGGTATCAGCGTGTGGGTGTGTTTAGGGACGCGTCACCTTCTATGACCGACTTGTATGCGCATGCGCACAAGGCGAACAACAGACACGATTAAAAAGGTAGCCAACCATCAGGAAATGGCAGCAAGAACCATGTAGAAGGCTGTGTAGAGGCCTGCCCGTGGAGTTCCGATGCTCCTAGAATATAATGGCGTTCCACTATGACTTAAATTTGCCAGGCTGTAAAGGGGTCCAGCACAATGTCTTTGAAAAATGAGAATACGAGGACAGAATGAAGGAAGGTGCAAACATCACAGCAAGGATGCCGCAGCGGCGAGCTCGTTGCCAGGTAGGCCGGAGTGTCCTGGTACCCAACAAAAACACCAACTGGAGGTGGGACACTGGCATCAGGATCTCGGCAAGGACCGTCGGAACAAATATAAGAGCGAAATAACTCAGAAACAGGGAGGGGGTGATGATGTTAAGCCCTCAAGAGTGTGAAATTTACACAGTGGATTTTGTCCGCGGAAAATTAAAATCCATTCTCCAGCGTCCATCGTGACAGACGGTTTATAGCCCCCCTGTAGCAGGCGATGCTCCGGGAACTGTAATAAATAGCAATATCGTCTACATACGACGACGTAGTTACAGATGGCCTTAGTGCTTTTACCATTCAGTTGACGGCGATTGCAAAAAAAAGGTTCCCACTTAAAACTGATCCCTGTGGAACTCATTATTCTTTGGGACATCGCGCAGATAACACATTCCCAAGTCGGACGCGAAAAAACGGCTCTGGGGGGAACATTAGGGTAGAAACACTGGCAGTCATCCTAAGAGTCCCAGCGGTGAAGGGTTCTGAGAATACCACACCACCAGGTTACGTGGTTACGTCATATGCCGCCTCCAGGTAGAATAAGATAGACACTAGGTACTGGATCTATGGCGTCGAAATCCAGACGAAGCATTGGAGAGAATGTTTCGACTCCCCAGGATCCAGACGAGACGACGGTACCACGCACAGACAACTACTTGCCACACGGAGCGGTCTTTGGCTGGTTTAAGGACGGAAATGAAGGTACCTTCTCTCCAGGCATCTGGTATCGATCTCTCTCCACATTCGGTTGACCACTGCAAAAGAAACTTCTTGCCTGCGGGTGGAAGGTGAGAGCTCATTTCGTTATGGAAAACGCTGTAACTCAGCCAGCGATCCTCCAACACTAAATGTAATGTTATAAGGTTCGGTGACACTCACGGCCTTAGCATCTAGCGTTTAAACGGTACCAAATTCTCAAATGCAGGACGAGGTCAAAAATGTCTCAAGAGTTCACTTGAAGGCCACACCCCACAGGATATTATTAGCATTAAAATCGCCAAGAACGAACGGTGATCGTAATTGTGATATCAAAAGTGCCAGTTCGTCTGAAGATACTGGCACTGCTGGCTTTTAACAGTAGAAATCTCTACGGTGGTCTAGCTGTTAGAACGCTGGCCTTGTAATCCTGGGGTCTCGGGTTCGAATTTATAACTTGTGTTGGGCAAGGCCGTGGTCTAGGCAACACGGAGTTTTCCTCCGTGGCATCCCAACAATTACTCCATTCACACACAGAAGAAGGCAATGGCAAACCACTTCTGGATCATCTGCGAAGAACGTATATGAACAGGTCCCAGTCCGAGAAGAGAAAAGGATGGAAGGATCCTGTTCATATGGACCTGTCGTCAGACAGAACACTAAATAAATAATAATAAAATGTCTTATTAGTTCATTACAACAAACCTGCCTTTGTATACAAATTTCTCTGGGTTCTAGAACACAGACCGAAAATCTATGTGAAGATGAAATTGCTTTCAAAGCGGAAACGTAAACACAAGAACTTAAAACAAAATTTGCCCGTTTAAATATTAACTGCTGGTGTCTGTTCTTACGATAAATTCCCTAAGCGAATCTGCAAACGATTTCGCCAGACAAGGCAAAGTGAGTAAGCGAGTAACACGAGGGGATGGAGGACTCTGCTAGTCGTTAACCTTTGAGATGCAGGAGACAAAAATACACACAAGAGTACATTCCGGCATGACACGCCCTCAACACGAAGGCATAACCTTCCGCTTGTACACTCTGTACAACAATTTAAATCATTTTCCGAGTCATCCTAAAGACAGCGAAATGAAAGCTACACTTCAATTGCGCTGATTGACAAGTCGGTATGGCAGCTGACTGCCGTTGCTTGGTCCATGCCGGCGAACGAGAGATCCGTGGCCGACGCTCAAAGATTTTCAGACATCTTATTAAAGATGTCACGTCTTGAAAACATCGTAATACACATTTTAAGTCATTAGCCATACTTAGGTAAACAAAACAATTCTAAAATACGCGATTTTGGAAATAAAATAGTTTGTCCACGGTCAGATACGAACGACGGACAATAATTCACGGAGAAACAAATGAAATGCACTTCTAACCTCGCCAATAAGCTACGAATAATACCGTGAAATATGAATTATAATATTTTACTCGTTGAAACAATTACTAAAACGAGTTCGCTTTATAGACAATACGACATTCTTTTTTCGAACAACACAATCGGCATATTTAGATATTCATCTCGAGTTGCTCTTGGCGTGAGTTCTACTGTTAAATATAACACGTGTACAATTCTAATGAGTAGAATACAACACGTTAAGTAAACATATTTAAACGTCGGGATTCAAAGTTGAAAACGTGACCTTCGCAACAACGTCAGTACCCTAAAATGCAACTGGTCCACGGGGGGAACACGGGCAACAGGCCTTTGTACGAGGTGCGATCTGAAAGTTTCCAGACTGCGCCTATAAAAACCCGTACACTTATCTCAGGTATTAAAT